TTTACCAACGTACCAAAGGGATGAAGAGAGGTAATTGGCCAACGTTTGATGCACGCCTTTGATAGAAGAGCAAGAAATTTGAATGGGTTAGAAGACTTCGCAAGGAAATGTAGCGATAAAATTGCTTAATAGAAATATTATAGCTATAACTCACAACGAACAATTGTTGAGAATAGGATTGATGATTTTCAACAAAATCTTGAGGTGCTTGTTCGGTCGGAATGGCAATCAGAGGAACACGTTTATCGGTCTATGTAAAATTTAAAATTTTTATTATATCTTTAGGCGGGTAAGAAGAATTATGATTTTTTTACAAGTTTTAATACCATACCGGTTTAAACCAAACGATTTTTGGACGCTCATTTTTTTCGTCTTTCCTATCATCTCGAGTATCTTCAACTTTCGGCTCAATACCTGCGGCTCTTTCCTCAGCTTCTCTTCGAGCCTTTTCAGCGGCTTCTCTTTCTTTGGTCGCAGTTGAGGACGGTCTCAGAAGAGCGAGTGTACTACGAAATAGAACCGACATATAAAGAATGAATTATCGAGCTTACGCACATAAATTTGTATAGTAAAAAATTGATTTACCCAGAAAAAAGTTGTCCTGGCATTCTTTCCATAACTGCTACCACATGACCACAATATTTTGGTCTTTGTTCGTCAGTAATAATATCATCATCTTCGAAAAGCAACAGTCCTTGGCCTTCAACTTCAACGTCATCCTTCTTTTTATCAACTTTCTTTTTATCGATTCCAGCACTTTCTTCTTTCTTCCTTTTTTTCTCCTCTTTTTCCTTCTTAGTCTGCCATACCTTTTCTGGGTCTAACAATTCTACCGCAACTACATCGCCTTCCAACGCACGATTTCTATCCTTAGAACCACAGATATAAATGTCCGCGTCTAGAATCTCTGTGGTCACATAAGCATCGGATCTGTTACGTTTGTTAATTCGCAAAACGCCGGATACAAGGTGGCCCATTTTTATAAGTTGAGGTAGGTGAGCTTGCGCAAGGTAAGGTGCGAATAAGGACTTTCTTGTCTGATTGCCAGAATTTTGTTGATTTGGTTGTTGTTTCTTCGGGATGGTGCCAAATTTGGCTATCGGAAAAGGTTGGAAAGGTTGAGCTAAGGCAGAAAGGGGCGAGGCAGCTGAGTGTTATTGGAATGACAAAGAAGTGCATTTCATTCATTATTTTTACAAGAAGCCAATGACTTAGGTTTTGCCGGTAGTAGACTAATTTGATTAAGTCAAAACCTTCGATACCCATTTGATATATTTTTTATCCATTTGTTACTGTAAAATTGTGACTTACTTGTTCGCCAGTTACTTTCAAAGTTTCTGGAATTACTACGACGATGACCTTTCGCATCTGCCCCAGTGGATCTGCCCTGACTCTTTTCAAGTTCTTTCAAAACATCCTTACTACCATTGAGAGCTACACTGTGTCGTCGATTGTGTAGAGGAATATTGTTAACCTTGTTAACAGTCGTCGGCGAAGTTACTGACAGTGTATAACCAAGAGATTGATGACGACGATGGGTTTTCTTAGAAGACGATGGTTGCTCATCAGAAGGCTTTTTACTAAAGTCGAAGGGGGACCTTGGTGAATCCAATTTGTCGTTAAACTGAGCTGCTTCATCTGGATTGGAGGATTTTTTGTTATTCTGATTCTTTTTACGTTTACTCCTCTTCTCCTCTTCGGTCTCCTCGTATTCCCCATCTTCTTTTCTCTTATCACCCTCTTTATCCTTCTGAGTTTTTCCTTTGTCAAGACTCATACGCCGCAAAGAAGAAATGGTGTCTTGTAGTGCGTTTTCTATATCCATTGGTTTTCCGTCTTCCGAGTCGGGAATAGGTTTCAACGAAGCAGTTACTGCAGTAGTCAGAGGAAAAGAAAAAGACACGGATGCCCCTTTCTTATGTTGCTTTGCAGGAGCGCTAGGACGCTTTCCTCCACTTGCTGCGCTAGATTCGTGGCGTTTATGTTTTGAAGTAGAGTCAATGGGACTCTCATCTCCGTCTCTTTTATCAGACTTTTGAGGTTTAGGAGAAACTGCTGGCAAATTTTTAAGACTCGCGATAATTTGTTGTAAAGATTCTAAAGCTTCAGATTTGTTCTCAGAGTCATCTTTACTGCCTTTAATTTTCCCGTTACCATTTTTAGATGTAGCTCCTTGAAGCTCCCCGACATTAGCCATTGATTTACCACGTCGATGAGCAGACTTATCGACGTTATTATTGTTTGGACTTTTATTCTTTCCAGATAAATCAGGGGTGTTAGCCGTTGACTTACGACGCTGATGCTGGGAGTTACCTTGTTTATTATCATTTACATCCAACAGTTCTGTCTCCTTGTTTTTGGGTTGATCCGGCCCATCTGCAGAAGGTGTACGATTCTTAGCACCTTTCTTTTCCTTCTTCTTTCTGTCGTCGAGATTGTCGTTTCCATTTTCATCAGAAGCTACAGCAGACTTGTTTCCTTTTGCTTCTTTATTCTCCACTTTCGGTGGACCTTTCCAGCCTTTTTGCTTCCTGCGAGAAACGGCCTCTTCTTGTGAACCCTCATTAGTGGTGGACAATACTTCAGCAACGATAGATGAGGACCCTGCAGTAATCACATTTGTATTCGTTTCGCTCGACATGGTTGTGTCAAA